ATGACACCATTATTACGAACAAAGAATGCGTCTGTCTCAGTACATAAAAGCTTTTTGATAGAGAAGTATTGAAGATAGATCCAGGCACAAAGCAATGGCTTCAGAAATATATGATCCTGTTTCACGGTTCGTTTTCAAGCCTGGAAGCTTTGTAGTTAGGATTCTCCGATTTCCAGTATTAAACCCTTTGTTTGACACTACACGGGAAGTAAATTTTATTGGAGCTTGAAAATTATATTTTTTTTTAAGAATGTTAAATTTTGTATAGTTATGTGAATCTGTATTAATAGTCTAGGAAAATAGCGTATTTTTAATACTGACTAGGAAATATATTTCTTGAGCTATTTGAGTTCCGTTGGCTCACTGTAGCGACGATTTATACATTATACGTTGATAGTATACGTGACTGTATATTTATTTATATTCACACGTTATTTATACGCGACATTACAATAAAATATATATTTTCGTGAAAGCAACCCATATCGTATGTATTGGCGCACGAAGTACGAAGGTTTCGCCATTTAAAAATTGCCAATTTTTTTTTTAATTTCAACTTTTAAATGAAAAAATACCATATTTATTTCGTAATCCTACCGCTAACATAAATGATATATAATAACAAACAGTTACACCAAAAAGATGAGAGAGAGAGACCACTATAAAAAGGTTCAAAAATTTACAAAAGGAAACATATTGATAGTACATTATCTGTATATTTTATCTTGTATGTTCCAAATACAATCTTATATAACATTCCGAATTAAAATATGAAATAGTTTTAATATGAGGTAAAAATAATAAGTGCCCAGCCACTACTCAACTGAATGCGAATGTACTTCGCTGTTGAGAATTTTGCACTCAAAACTGGTTTAAGAAGGTTCTTCAGTTTTAAATAAATTATAGTATATAATTAATAGAGACACTTCCAACGTTTTTTAAAGTAATTCGCATACTATGACCTTATTTTTCGAATGCTTCTACACCGAAGCAGCTAAATTAGAAAGAGATCTTGGCAACGGACACATTAAATATACATACATACACATGTCAGATGTGAAACTTCTTTGGCAAAGTAATTTTTAAGTCTTGTTCATATTTATAAATCTAAAACTTTAAACCGACGTAAATATATCTTTAGTATTTGTTCCAAGTAAGGATGGCTAATTACTGTTCACTTTTGTTTTAAGCCTCATCAACTTTTCCCTCCAGCTGTGCCCAAACAAACCGAAAACTTTTGTTCCTTTTCAGTGTGAATGAGAGACTTTAATATCCATTTAGTTTTAACTACCTTTAATCGAATGTTATTAGTTCACAGTTTCCACTCCAGTACAACTGTAAAATTTATGAAAGTAATTCAGAAAAATTCAATCATATACATATACATGTTTTCTAATGCTGTGTAATATAAGATTAAAATCAAAGCATCATTTCAGTACGACAGGTAATTTCCGAAAAATATAATAACATACCAAGTTACATACTCTTACAAAACTTTGCACCCGTACTTGAAAGCCTTAATTACTCAAATACATAAAATCAAACTGATAACTTCTTTTTAAATAAAGGTTAAAAATGTAAGACGAAAAATTAAAATTACTATAGTTTAAGTGGTATTTCATACTCAACAAACAAGTCATCCGTGGATTAGTCGCACGCACTATATAAACCGAACCATAGGTTTGATTCTCTATTAAGCAATATATTTCAGGTACAAAACTTAAACTGAACATATTTCTGTGTCATATTGGAAATCTAATAAAATATATAGCCATCGTAAGTATTTTACAATTGGTAGTAGTAGTTCTTGAGAATGACATCAACCAGACTATCTATTCTGCTTATCATATAAAGGTATAGATAACGAAACTTTTTTTTTTTTTAAAGACAATACACACCAATTGACCTAGTCACATGCTAATCTGGTGAAGCTTGTGTTATGGGTACTAGGCAAAGGATATACATACATATTATAGATAGATAGACATATAAATACATATTTTAACACCCAGGACCTAAGCACAACACCAAATGTTCATCACATCGATGTTCGTCTCAGCCGGGGATCGAACCCGGGACCCATGGATTCGCAGTCAGGGGTACTAACCACTAGACCAAGGAGTTGTCAAAATTTAAAAATATTCAACTGCAAATGTAGAGTATGACGAGGTGAGCGCAACAGCAATTTTGTTATATCGATAGCATGAAACGAATACTCTACCACGAAATTAATCCCGAAGGTATTTCAGTTATGTAGAGAAAAGTGGGTATTCAGTTATTCCAACTATCTAGGAAATATCGCGGAAATTGCTTTACAGTAATGCTCGTATTTTAATTTAATTGACATAAACGTGGTAACAATTTGTATATTAAAACTAATTGTGATATTCAATTTGCTTATTTATGGAGTTTTATGGAAAATGAGGGAGGCAAATTATTATAGCAGTGTGCCTATCCCTCAGGTGGTAGGTACAAACCCCAACTATGCACCGATGGACATTTTGTACACTCGCTCGTACAATGAATGAAATAGTGAGGAAACTAGCATGCCTTAGATGGAAAAAGTCAACGGCGTATCAGGCAGGCTGATCACCTACTTGCCTATTAGAAAAAATAAATGGTCACGAAATAGATACAGAAATCCACTGGTTTATTTTAAATTGCAAGGCACAGTTCCAGTTGTAATCCAGTTGCCTACCACATAATTTGTGACACAACATTCTTGCGTTTCGTCATTAGATGACGTTTAGAGTTAGGGAGTTCCAGTTTCAGGTTTTTATTTTATATACGCAGCCTAATTTACCTGGTAAATGTCCATTGAGGTTTTTTTTTATATTTTACAAATATATATTAGTTCCAGCTTGAACTACATTACATCTGTTGCGTGCATACTATTTTTATTTATGTTGTTTTAAATTTAAGTAAAAGAATAAAATGCCGTGCAAAGCGTCGTGGTTTGTCCCGAATCGGAACTCCAAAACATGAAATGATTTTGCTGCCACCAAACAAAACCACGTCACATTTTGTGTATAGGGAAGTTCTAAGACAATGAACTCTGAAGTTCTATAAATAAATCTATATTTTGAATTATGGTTTTTATTTTTGACAATTAATCATAATCAAGCTAAAAATTCCTGGGCTGATTAAATAAATTCTTTCATTACCTTCTTGAAATCAAGAATTTTTCAAAACCTGTATAGTGTTTTTAAATTTACTAATTTCGGACATTTAACGTAAGTGATGTAACGAATTTAAAAATGTATTAGATATATATTCGTTATAAGTAAAAAGTTATTAAAAACGAAGTGAAAATGAAACTTTAATGATAAAGATATATCTATAGTCCGACTTGGAAGACTTTCCACTATTTCGAGATCAGTATCTAGTACGTGAGTGAAACCTCGAGACATTGATAGTATAGAAATAAATTTGAACAAGAAAAAATTCTTCTGAGCTGTCAAAGTCCAAGGCAAGAGTCAAATCCAAATGTCATTTTAGTTATAACTTAAATCGAACTTAATTTACATTTCCAAAGATTATACAGGTACAAATAGATCGTTGTTAATTCCACGTTCTTGAATAATTCGTACAAGATATTAATTAGTGCGGTTTCGTGTATCAAGTGTATAATTAATACGATATCTATTATTAGACGTTTTCAAGTATAATAATCGCTAAGTAAATTCATGTGTGTTACGGTATGTATATTACTAGAGATCTTTCTCGGCTTCGCACGGCGGGTCAATGGTAAAATAATGTTAATAACGGACGGCACGGACTGTGAATCAGATCGTTTGGTTACGCGTTAAGAGCTCTACCAGCTAAGTTATCCGAGACTCGTATTTAACAAACCAGGTGTTTAGTGGGAGTAGAGATACATAACCTAGATACCGACGGCAGCGCCATCTGCCGTCTAGGGCGCAACCCAAACCTACAAAAAAACATTTCAAATCGGTCCAGCCGTTTAAGAAGAGTTCAGTGACACACGTACAGTAGAATTATATATATATATTAAAATAAGGATAATACAAATTGGAAGCAAGGCCAAGATTAAATTAGAAGAAACTTGAAGCTGTTTAGAAAAACTGATTATCAGTTGTGAATACAATTAGACTTGGTGAGTGCAATAATAATATATTTTAGCATTTATATTTAGTATAATAATAATTTTCATTTTTTATGTCGATTTATGTAAATAAAGGCCCTTATCGTTTTAGATTACATTTCTAGGACAAAATTACATTTAAATACTTTACACTCTCGACGAAAACAATACGATTTATTGCTACTACATTGCATCATCTCAAATGAAATTAGTTTCAGCATACTTCTATAAAAATTGCCCTTCCATGTTCCTGCCTCAAAGACTCGTAGTCGTGCTTTGTTTCATGTTTCTCACATCAACACTAACTATGTAAAACACTTAGTTTTGTATCGCGCTGCCCGGACTATTTAAGCCTTGACTTGTGTAAGCTATCGCGGAATATGGTTAAAAGGAGTATTTAGAATATCCATAACAAAAAATCACCTTCATCATGAGCATACTACACATACACACCTTCACGTACATATCCTCACTTTAGCACCATCACACAACACAGCAAAATTAGGCATTACTTAGTAAAATGTAAAGAATAATTTTTATTGTTTCTTCCCTTTAGTAAATGTACTTTTTGTAAATGTTATGTATATATTATAGTGTATCTATATTTTTAGTGTAATTGTTTGTTTTTATATATAATTTTTGTTAGATGTAGGATTACGAAATAAATAAATAATATATTATATGAGTACGGCTATCGACTTCCATAAAATCTTCTTAAGGTAGAATTATGTCTATATATCTGAAGAACGGTGCAGCTCGGCTGAAATTGACATATTATTTAACCATAGATCAAAGAAATTGTATGGCAGTAAAAGCTCTCCTATAGATTTACAAGTTTATTAACTTTTAACGACGGTACGAAAACGTATTAGATTTCTATATACAGTTTTGGTACTTACCTTTCTTTTTTAAGTTCGCTGTTCCTTTTACGAAAAGTTGCTACAAGCACTTGAAGCTCGGACGAGTGTCGCTCGTACACTTGTGACAATTGTGTTGTGAAGTCCGCGACTGAAAAGTGAGAAAAGAAATTGTAATTATTTACTTCACGATAAAAGTGACGTGAGGTCTATAACACGTTAGCAGACTTATGTGGTGGGTCGTACTTGAATTCGTGTATGCGGTGATGTTAGTTATTTCGACTATATGCTTGCGTGTTGTTCCCACGAGAATGTAAGTGCGTGCTCCTATTTCACCATGCCTCCTGCTTACAGAGGACAAGTCTTTGTTTTTAATTTATTTTATTATTATTAATTACTTAAGATGTCATGTGGAACATGGTGTAATGGTTGCAGCTCGTTACAAACGTTGTGTAAAAAAACATGGCGATTAAAAAGAGTGGCGGAGAGTTTATTGGCAGTTCTTCTCTTCCGTACTACTCCCTTGATTTGAGAACTGGCACTAAATGTAAAGCTAGAAGCATTTCATATACATTTCTTTTTTGACGTTCATAAGTGTACATTGTGTTACTATATGATGAAATTATTTTTGACTTTTGTGATAATAAATATGAAGAAAACAGAAAGTGGATATATTTTATTTTAGTACTAAGTCCCCGGCTTATTAAATACTGGGGCATCGGTCTACACGTTTATAAAAACAAATAACGCTACAAGCCATGGTATAGATCAAACATTTCTGGAGACCGATATAGATCATCTACATTTGGTAAGTAAGCCTTATACGCCTGACACACGTCGTCAACTGTTCGGTCTATGAAAAGTGAATTTCATTACGATACTTTTATTCTTTAACTAGAAAAAAATTATTAAAAAAGAGAAAAATGCATTGCTGAAAAAGCCAGGGGTTAAATAACCTTAGAAGTAAGAGTCGTGATTGACCACTCCAACTACTCTAACAACTGGGTCATATATCCAAAATAATTTACAAGAACTTCTGAACATAATATTTCTATGTAAATATTAGAACCAACGTTGAATAAACATTTTTATGACTTGTACGTGCTGCATTGTTACAAGTAGGTCATATTTTATTATACTTGACCTATTAAATAAATAAAAACTTAACTATATCAATTGTATTTCATTAATAATATATAATTAGCGTATGTTTTTACTATACGTTTTGTGCTGTCTCTATCACGGAATAACTGTTTTTTGTATGAGATTATGATACATATAATATACTTTGTAATATTTACTAATTAGTATAAGAAAAAATCACCGTTAGATTTTTTAAACTAAGAAAACTGATTCAGGGGTACAATTACAAAATTCTAATTAAGTCAGTTTTATATATATGACAACCCAATTAATAATATAACAACAAAATATTAAAATTCATTAGTTACAATATACTTTTACGCCACTTGTATTTTTGATACTAAGGGCAATGGCTAGTATATAAAAGAAGAAAATGAAGTGCTGTAAAGTTCGGCACTTAAGCATCGCAACTTTCGAGCTTAATGTATAAAAATTATATGGGTACCTAGCATTAGCAAAACTCTACTTTTCGTTATAAAAATATATTCAGAAAGATAATATAAAACGGAACTTTTGTTAAAAGACATAACTAGTTTTTGTCAATGAGGCAAAATATAAACTGCGCCAATTTTGGAGAACGAAAAACATGGTACTGATTACAGTGTTAGCAAACTGAAACTTTATCAACTGTTAGTCGTGTCTTTCATGCCACATGAAACTCCCAAGAGAATTATAAGTACGTTTATTTTGACTTTCCTACGACTCCATTGGGAATCAAAAGGCCGTTGCTGGGAGCTCCATAAATAGAATTAGGTAATACTTTATCTATATAGAAAACTATCGTCTTTCAGTTACTGGAGAGTAAAGAAAAATCAAACATGATTTAATTGGTACGCAATATTTTATATGCGCCCATTTTAAGGCGGCTAACATTATTTTATAAATGATATTCTATGAGAAAATAGGAACTACTGCTATTTTAAATTTAAACAAATATACGCCAATTATATCAAAGATTTTTTGTGTGGGTATAAAATACCCCATCAAGGGGTCATTATAAGTATTCAGTCTATCTTCTTATGACTCGTTAAAAGCTTCGTGGGATTCAGATGCGTGGGTTTGCATAATAACCTTTCATACCTAGAGGACATTGAACGTCTGATACGAAATAAAGTCTTCTTTCAAAAGAACGAAATAACTATTTTTAACTTGGAACCTGATGATGAAGAACAATTTTGGTGTTTTGGTGAGCGAGACTCAGACCTCGACTTGTGACCATCAAACGGTACTAATACGTGCGTGATTGGGCTGAAATCACCATCTCCTGGCAAAATAAGAAACAAACAGTAATCATACAAAATTTAATTGACTTGAAAAATTTAACCTAAAGTATAAAGTTACCATTCTTCAGCTTTTGAATTAGGTGAGCAATACAGTTGCAACCTATCGTCAACCAGCTTATTAGTAAGCATGCAAAAGATCAGGGCTTTAATTATTTAACATTCTAAATAAATAATAATTATAGAGACTGACTGACTGACATCAAGAAAACCTCCGTGGGATTTGAGGTCACAGCAGTGCTTACCCTTTATGTTACGTTGAAAACGATGTTACGTCATTAAGTAAAGTGTATAATTATTTTATAAATGAAATTACGAGTAGCACATAGTAAATATACTGACCAGTTTACTAGTGCGTATACTTACTAGTTCGTATACCTGTCACGCTAGTTCTCTTTTCGCACAAACTGTGATAAATAGTTTTAATCTAATCAAGCGCATTTTGTTATCGATTAAGATATTCATAGTTTTAAGTCAACGTCATTTTCCAAAGGTTACGAAGAAAACTTAATTTAAAATAAAGATTTTAAAGAAGCCAGCTCTTGTAAAATTTACCGGGGTGCTTAAGTATTAAAATTTTAATTACCGTGTAAGCTTACCTCGGTGCTCTTTGTATAATGTACGTAACTTCTTATTCACAAAGTTGTCTAGAAGCTTATTTTCAGCGTAATTTACGCCATTTATTAACAAGTATATATGTAAAATTTATCTATACTAATATTATAAAGCTGAAGTTATAATTTGGTTGAACGCATTATTTAAGAAGCAATTGGGAATTTAAAAAATATCCGTTATATAGTCTGCGTATCGAAAAAGGCTATATAGCATATGCCACGTAGCTGATGCTAAGACCGAAATAACGTGAATTGAATCGACGAGCACAATTAATGTTCTCTATTTTTAAATAAATTTATAAATAATAATTCTATTAGACCAAAAAACCACAGACATATCATATATTTTAAAAAATACACGTCGAATTGAAGTTACATATCTACGTATAATAATAATATGCAGCATTATAAAATATAATTAAAATCAATTCTTCCGTAATACTACGTATACGTAATACCAGGATTTTGTTAAGATGGTGGACAAAAGGTTAAGTTGAAAATTTTACATTCGAACGATGAGATCTGTATAGGATGACCTTTATTGAAGTAAAAGTTAGTGCTACGCCGTAGCGCCGTAGCCACTAACTAGCGTAGGTGTATTAACTTACTTTGAAAAGACTTATTTCCAATTTATAACTTACTCATAGTATATTAAGAGTTAATAGTGCATGTAATCCATTTGGTCAAGTAGTAAATACGTTCACATTACATTATTAAAAACCAAAACGTCCATTGCCCATATGAATTTAAAAAAGAATAGTTAAAATTTTACAAATCGTTTTGTTCATTATTAATACTTGCCTAATGTCTTAATCGACCATGATCATGGAAAGAGGAAGACAGAGCAAGAGGTGGGCAGACAATATAAAGAGAATGGGAGGCATAACTTTGACAAGAAGAGCTAATATTTTAAAGGAATGGAAGCAGCTGGAAGAGCCCTCACAAGACACGATGATTACCAACCGGTACATCTGTTATGTAACGAAAACAAATCTTAATATATATAAATCTCGTGTCACAATGTTTGTCCTCAATGGACTCCTAAACTACCGAACCGATATCAATCAAATTTGCACACCATGTGCAGTTCGATCCAACTTGAGAGATAGGATAGTTTAAATCTCAAATTATAGTCGCAATTTTAATTTATTGCAAAATATTTGTTTATTATTTGATACAATTCTAACAGATGGCGCTGTGTTAAAATTATCAACGTTTCACATAAGCTGTCATCTACCTTTCACATAAGTTCTCCTACCGTTTCCCTTGAATAGTTTACTCAACGCTTGGCCGAGTCTACTAGTATTTATATATATTAACTGGGTGTCAGCAATAAAGGCTTAGTAATAATAATAAAAAGCCATAAATTTCCTTTTATCGACGGACAGTACTTTACACGTACAAATAGAAAATAAAAAAGAATACCAAAATATGTCATCCTTAATGTCTCACGAACAAAAAATGTCTAAAAATAAAATCAACAAAGGAAAATCATTCTAAATACCAAAAATACGCGCCACCTAATTTATTCATTATCACATAGTTATCGAAATAAGTATGTTGTTGTACCTTTTATCTTCCCGTATATGTATACATTTTCATATCTCAAAAATTTACATGGCTCGTAAATAATATGTTAGGAAATACATATATTAAATATTTGACATTAAATACAACAAGAATAAATACATAAAAAGTTAAGAAATATTTCAATACCCTTTGCCAGTAAAAAGGTTGATATCGTTAGCTTTATTGCATTTAGTTTGGACTGAATTATCCGGGTGTAAACGCTCCATTCTTGGGTAAATTAAATTTTATAAGGCCAGGTTTTATTTATAAAATAGGTATTACTTTAGACGGATGCAAACTGCTGTATATTATGATAAGTACTATACACTAGGTTTATATGAAAACAGTTTTAATTTTTGTTCACGTTTAATAAAAAAAAAAAACAGTGGCGCTACAACCTCTTTATTGTAAATAATGTGAACCAGATTGTTATTATCACTAATAAAAATAAACAGTATATTTAAAGTAATTATTTATAATCGGACCATAACATTTATGACCATTTAATGAAGATTGCTTATTTTAACGATAAGTTTATACGCAATTAAAATAACAGAATGAAAGCATTGTAAAGCATAAGTCTACTCTTTTTCCTTGGCGTTTCTAAAGTCTATTAAAACACAGTATATTCTCAAAATATAATCCATAAAACGTTACAAGAAAAATGAACGGAAAAATCAATTAAGGGATAAAAATTCCGCGTTCAAGTCTCAAATATAATTATGTTTCGTTTTCTGTTCCCAGGTCCGTTTGGAAGCGGGTTTTAACGAGTTTAATTGAGGCAAGGTTTATCTACAATTTGCAATATTGTAACTTGAAATTCAATCACAAATCTGCAGTCAGTTGGCGATTTTTTAAATAAAAAGTCTACATCTTTATGAAGCACTACCATTATTTGAATGTATTAATATTTCGTTGTAACATTTTGTAATTTCAATATTATCTTAAATAATATAAATCAGTAGCGCTACAACCTTTTTCGGTCTGGGCCTCAGGTTTCTGTATCTGTTTCATGATCTATTATTAATCTAATAGGCAAGTATGTGATCAGCCTTCTCTGCCTGACGCACGCCGTCGACTTTTTGGGCCTAGGGCAAGCCGGTTTCCTCACGATGTTTTCCTTCACCGTTCGGGCGAATGTTAAATGCGCACATAGAAAGAAAGTCCATTGGTGCACAGCCGGGAATCGAACCTACGACCTCATGGATGAGAATCGCACGCTGAAGCCATAATATTACCTAATGGGTTGAAAATAAAAATAATATTTATTGTTTTACTTGTACTACTATTGTGTTGTGATTTTCAAAAATAAATTGGTATCTTAAACTCTATAGCAAACCTAGGGTACGTATGCGGTACATACCTCACTATGTTTCGTTTAAATCACAATTATTAGTCCGATACAAGAGTACAAGAAATATAAAATATAAAATGGATGTACGTCAAAACCACCTGTATGAATGAATCCATATCAAAATAAACACTAGCTTTTTAAATTTAAAAACTGATACAAATGCGTACTAAGCGAACTAAATACACAAATACAAATCACAACCGGCTCTGTTTAAGTGCGCAAAAACCTTCAACTAAACCCTTATGTTTATGATCTAATAAATATATTCGTGTCGTATTTCAACTTAGAGACCTACCTTTATTGCTGTTAGGTTTTTGAAGTACAAATATAATCTATGAATTAAATAAAAACTTTCACATTAAAAAATTAATTATCAACATTTGTATACTTCCATTGCTTAAAACAAATATAATACATAAATTCTACTATAGATAAGATAGAACCTCCAAAACCAAGGCCAAAACAATTGCCGACAGCGACCACTAAGTCTAAAGTTGTGTGGGCTAATTGTCTGGTTACTCTCTCGTACGGCCGATTACCAAGAATAAAAGAAATCGCTCCGCCAGGTTTATCCGATAAACTTAATTTCTTGGCAATAATATTATAATCCGGCTCGGTACACGACGGCAAACAATCGCATTGCAAGCCTGTTTCATTCACTTTAGGAACCCGCAATCTTTTCAATCTATCATTGTATCGTATCAAACACTGCAATCCTTCTAAGTCACAATACTTGTCTTTATATTCAAGCGGTGATAAATGCGAAGTGCAGCCACAGAGGTTCAACTGTTCATGAATACGGCATTCAACTATACAAACTGAGTAACTGTAGTAGCTGAAGCCTCGGAAATTGCTAGGCACTTCACTAGGAAACCTGCATTGTCTCACATTCGGAACAGTGAACGTTACTTCGGGCTCATTCATTATATCCACTATAGAGAACGATACAGTCGCTTCCATTCCATAGCCAACAGATATTCTTCTGTCTTGTTCCATATTCCAAAACGGCACGTCTTCCCGTGCATGTAAGAATGCTTCATAATCCTCCGAGAGAGCCACGCTTAGACTCCCTAAGTGCCGTCGGTCTGACGACGCGACGTAATATGAAAATTGCTCGTGAAATTGGATATTATTCATCGAGAAACACAGCCCGTACTCAGTTTGAACAGGCTTAAAATGTTGGCAACAGTTTACCGGTTTATTATCCCATGTGCAGGTAATAAAAAGATCTTTGCACTCCGACCGATATACAGAAGTTAATCTAGCCAAGTCAGTGGAGTATTCGGTTTTATTGTGCCACGTGCAGCTGGGGCAATCACCGCGGAAGAAAGCGATCTGTTTAACGAAATTAAGTCGCTCCTCGTTATCTGTATTTTGCAGTTGTTGTAATATTTTCTCGTTATTGCCAATTTGGCAGATTGTTATCGAAGGGAACGTCGTGTTCCAATCCAAATAGTCGGTGCGTGTCGTGAACCGTATGGTATCCTCACGGTACGCAGAAACGTATTTGTATATGGCAGCCACTGCCGCGATCCAAACATGAACATATATTATGAAATAAATAAATCTATATGCGACATGGACGTCTTTACGAGTAAGATACGTCGGCCCGTGTACTGAGAGATTGCGACATGTGTGCTTCAAACGAGGTAAGAGTGCTTTAATTTTGGCTTTAAGCTTCTTCATTTTCGCATCTGAAAACTCGAGTTAATGTGACCAAGTTGCGAGAGGGACTGAATAAATTATTCAAAGCTATTAGGTAGGCATAATACAATCCATTTGGGTATTAGGTTAATTGAAGTTTAACAAAGCTTTACATATTCGATAAAAACCTTTGATAACATTTGTTTTAGTTATAGTAACTATTTTGTTCCTCAATGTTTAGATTATTGTATACGTAATTCAAATTTATTTTCATTGATTAAAAGAATATTTATTAAAAATGAGAAATAATATAGTGTTCGTAGATTAACCTTTCAAGTTTCTAACCCCTGTCGTTTGGTCTTTAATGAATTAGTCAGTACAAATATTTCATATCTTCGGTTTGAAATCGATGTGAAACCAAATAGGGAATGGACTTGCGATGTCATGTTACAAACGGGAACATTTTGACTAAAATTTCTAACCACATTGCGTGTGAAATCCTCAAATAGAGATTAACCCTTAACCCGCAGCACATTTACATCTATTAATTGACAGATTAATAAACAACAGAAACATACTTTGATGTTAATGTCGTCCAAAGTAATGACTATGTGTCGTGTGTGTTCATGTAATTATTAATTATATGATCGGAAACTACTTATTATATACACTCCGTAAGTACTATAGTATAAAGAGAAACAAAAAACATATCTACGAATATATAGGCCTTTAATGCGAATCTAACAAGCGTTCTATAAACTTTTTAAATCATATTCCGCTGTTATATAGTCAGAATTTATCAATTATAATTATTATTACCGATCAATAAATAGTAATTAATTTATCAATCTAGTAATATTGGAAAATCAAATAAACTACTAATACTGTTTGAACTAATTTCACTTTGACGTTGTTGACATATGACAATGGCAGCTGACAGTGACGCCAAACATAAGTAAATTCTCAAATAAGTGTGTATGTGAAAAAAACTGGATACATTGACCTGCTCTAAGTGACTAATAAATATCCTTTTAATATTTACTCTACAGTTTTAAATGTGAATGACCAAGAAGTTATTACTATAATTTTAATTCTCAATACAATTTCATAAATTATTAAATTGAAATAGGTTGTAGGTTACGTCAGATTTATGTCGGTGTAATGAAATCAAATTGGCAATGACCACCTTCGGGAATACAATGTTCCATTTCAAAATAGATAATAGTAGGATAATTGAAAATCGAGTTATATTTTGACGTGTCTGGGTTTGGCCAAAATTTAAATAATTATTAATTAATTGAGATGTAAATGTAGCCATGACATGACAACAATGCATGATCACTACAAGACCATTATCGCGATGCGAATAATAAAAACGATTTTATAAATTTAATCGCGTTTTAATCTCTTATTAATGATGTAGTCATTATAATTTATGAAAATTCGCTTGATCGTGTCGTGAGACGTGAATAACCAAAGTGTTAATTTTACGCATTATAATAGGTTTTCTATAAATATGCTTATCGCTGAAGCGATATTAATAGTATTTTTGCCCACATTATTTAAGGTCACTGACCTTAAGTGACTAATCTCAATTCGTCCTTTACAGCTTTAGCTAAAAACGAAGTATTAACTAAAATTACAAGTCACATTGTCTGCAACACATTGTACAAATAAATAAAAGAGAAAATATCTCTTACAAGTATTATAATAAAGAGATAGAAAGAAAGGTGCGTGCGTACAACGTACACATGTCACAAGTGAAACTGCTTTGGCAAATTAATTTTTAGTCTTGTTTATATAATATATACAAATCTAAAACTTTAGATTTTCGAGACTTAGCGGGAGGGAAAAGGAAGACATGTTAGGAATGTAATGAATTTAATTGTCATTAAAATATTAAGCGTCGAAAATTAATACAAATTATAATTTTTTTTTTTAATTATTTCTTGGATAGTAAAAACATGCGTGGCATTTTAATTTACAATTCGTCATTTGATATTTCAATAAATTATTTTGCATAAAATACTAATATTTCATAAATTCTCTTTACCAAATTTTAATTTTAAAAATAGAATTTCTATAAGGTAATTCGCCCTTCTCACACTCTCAATCGCTCTCTCCCTTTTCTTCGACAAAAACGCTGCACATCTTCGTGACGCTAATATTATTATTTTTGCGTTTCATCCGTAAAAAAAAATACCCTCGTGCGCCTAAAGAAGATTCTCTTCAAAAAGCTTTTCTTTCTTTTATTTATGGTTTTTAAAACTATAAAGATACGTTTTCTTTCCTCTTATATATAACTGGAGTATCTTTTTCATGAGCGAATCGTTTCAGTGCACATTGAAATCTTGCTAACGACGCTCACTTGTGAATTTCCACTCAGCGAAATAAATCATTCAATCTCACGCCTAATGCCGAGCCGAACAGGATATTATTATATTTCGCTTCTGTGAACATTCTTCACATTAAAATTAATACAGTACATGTATGATTATTTTTGTTAGGATTTTCAAACATTTTTGCCCTCAGTAAATAAATAAAAAGTGAGGGCGTACAAAGTACTCATGTCAGAAGTGAAACTTCTTTGGTAAACTAATTTTTAAGTCTTGTTCATATTTACACAAATCTAAAACTTTATATTTACGAGACTTAGAGGGAAGGAAAAGGAAGATTTATGGAATGTAATGAATTTAACTGGCATTAAAATATTAAGCGTCGAAAATGAATACCAATTATAAATTAAATTTTTTTAATTTATTTATTGGATAATAAAAACTTGTGGCATTTTAATTTACAATTGGTCATTTGAGATTTCAATTAATTATTTTGAATAAAATATAAAATCATAAATTCTCGTTACGAAATTTTAATTTTAAAAATAGAATTTCTATAAGGTATTTCGCCCTTCTCACTCTCTCTCAAACGGTCTCAATCGCTCTCTCCCTTTTCTTCGACAAAAACGCTGCACATCTTCATGACGTTTCATCCGTTAAAATTTAACCCTCATGCGCCTAAATAAGTTTCACTTCAAATCATACAACTCCGAAACAAATCTAAAAGCTGAGTGCTACGGGCTTATTGCCTCTTTCAAGCAACCAACTCGTGCTTAATGACGGCAAAGAGATTCTTTATTGGTAGACTTATTGTTATCATGATAAATGTTATACAAAGTATAAAATAATAGTTTGTCCTTATCACTTGCGTCTTAATTTGCAAATAATTAAGGTGACAGATTTTGAAGTGAACTTCTTTAGGCACATTAGGGTAAATTTTTACGGAAACGTCACGAAGATGTGCAGCGTTTTTGTCGAAGAAAAGGGAGAGAGCGATTGAACCGATTGAGAGAGAGTGAGAAGGGCGAATTACCTTATAGCAATTCAGTTTTTAAAATTAAAATTTACGAGTTTTTATTATCGAAGAAATAAATTAAAAAAAATAACAATTATAATTTGTATGAATTTTCGACACTTAATATTTTAATGACGATTAAATTCATTAAATTTCTAACATATCTTCCTTTTTCCCTTCCTCTAAGTCACAGAAATCTAAAGTTTTAGATTTGTATAAATATGAACATTGAGTTAAAAATTAGTTTGCCAAAGAAGTTTCACGTCTGACATATGTACTTTGTACGCACAACTTCTTTTTAACTGTACGTTTGTGAATAATGCTTTATAAACATCAATTTTTAATAATAATGCAATATTGAGCATATTATATTATGAAATGCAAAATTTATGAGTCAAAGAACTTAAATCATAGTATATTTTAAATAAACGTGTTATCACTTTCTTGGATTAAAATTTAGTTTACGTCTTTTTATACATTTCTTTAACAGAACAAACTAAATCAAGGTATGTTATATATCTATATCTTGTTAGGCGATAAATGCATATAAAATAATTCTTCAACTTTTAACAGTATTTATACAATTACAATAAAATTCCAATTACATCATTGACTGAAAAATTTGATTTATAAGTCTAAACATGAGAGTGTAAATTTTTTTATAACGATATTTATAAATCTTTGAAGCTAAAAATAAAAATAACCTTTGAACAAGCATCACGAACGGAACGAAAGTTAGAGCAATCTCTCATTGTCAATCACAATTTATAACGTTGACATCTCTAGGGATTCTAAGACAGTAAATATTAGGATCGCAGATGTCCATTAATATATATAAGGGACGTTATGAATCTATTGCTGTAAACATACTTATATATTTATTTTGAAGGCAGACATTTTGATCTGTTTTTCGAAGGCTTTATATAAATTTAATGTGCTCAAGTAGCTGTACATTTGACTGCAAAGATAGTTTTAATTATAAATTAGTAAGCGATACATAATATTTTATTACTTCTTTAGTTTACCATCAGTTATAGTAGCCTAACGTTTAGTGTGCTTTAAAGCACAAAATTTAAACTTTGAATCTGGAATAAAAACAGAATCTTTGATTTTTTTTGTGATACCTACTTGTGATTATTTTTGTCAAAATTCTGCACTCTACTTCCTATTAACATTACATCAGTGTTGTATAAGCACTAGATCAAAAATAAATAGAATACCTGTAGTATTACTCTGCGGTACATAATCCCGTGCAGGCCACGAATGCGGTGGGCTCTAAATTGCATTGCACAAACGAGATTTCACCAACAAATGGACTAGACTTGAATCACGACATGTGATAATATTACTAAACGTTAGTATTACATAAAAATATGTAAGAGGTCTTTAATTTTGTTCTTCTTGCTTTTATTTGCCAGATAAAGAGGAAAGATTTGATTGTTTGTTTGCATTGAATAGGCCGTTTTGAAAAATCTTTGATTTAGATTTAATCCTACGTTATTCCTGATAACACATTTATTGAATATTTACAAAAAATAGATACAAATAAAAATTCTTATATTGCGTGCGCTACGTCTACTAATGACCTTAAAGTACAGAGACATACATTTCCACAAAAAAAGTCCGCGATTTTTTATGTCTAAGGATAAAATTTAAGTTACATATATATTTTAGTTAACAATTTAAATGGGCATACCATAAATTGTTAGTTTTGGTAATGATATATGAGCCCTTTAGTTTTTCATACATCCATAAATTATAATATAACGTTTCCGAGAATGAACAACACACATATATTCGTTATAGGTAACAGATGTATCGCTTAGTTTAAGAACCTATAAATAAGTCAAGTTAGAGTTACAATTAGTGCAGCATTGCAACCCCACTACCATTAATGCTATATTAGTTGTAAGCTCTTGTTTGAAACGATTAAAGACCAGCGTGCGTGGTCACCGTGACCACGCACGCTGTAAAGCACGCGAAACGTCGGTTAATTTAAAATTATGTTAAATAGTTGTAAATTTATAATAATACATAACTTCAATCCGGTCAAAATAGTGTTTTATTAAACGATTAAAGACTGTTGACAATTAGGCTCGAACAAAGTATTACATCCCTCCAACAACCCCTACCGAAACACTTTATAACATTTTTAACTTTTGAATTGAGTTCGTATTAAGAATGTCAGTTGATAGTTCTTCCTTACCTGTTTTGACTAATTTGAATGTAACTTGTTGTTGATTCTTTAGTTGCTCATTATGAGATGGGTGTGTCAGTTCTCGCAGAGCCATCTCTATCGACGGCTGCTGCATTTTGGCAGATGTCGACGGCGTCTCCCTCGACCGGCTGAATTTTCGAAAAAAGCTGACTTTCTTCGGCTTTGGACTACTTCCTGTAAAAAAACATTATTTAGATAACAGTGAATGTATAGATTTTTGTAATTAATAGTTAAGAAAACATATGTGTTAGAGCCAGGCATTTTGTTAAGTCTGCAAAATTTCATGCTCAATGAGTTTAAACACGCTTTAATTAGTTCCAAATCCACACGCTTTCTTAAAAACCTTCAAATGACGATCGTTGAGCTGGAGGTGTAGAATGTGGAGATGTTTGTGCCAGAGTTGAATTCGCCGTTGGCTCTGACTGCGGACGGGGAGGTAGCAGACTAAGGGAGGAGGCTGAGGGAGACGGGAAATGAGGTGCAGACACATCAGACCGACGATCAGGCTCCGGCGTCGTTACCCTTATATTTGCACAGAATTCCGGCGTACTTGCAACTTCAAAGAGTGCATCAAAATCGCGGTCGAATATGTTTTTCCTGGAGAAAGCTGGGGTTGGTAGGGGCGCGGGAAACTCGAATTCATCCGGGGCTGGGGTTCTGATTATTTTGCCGAATTCATTGTCCTCATGGCGGCCTAGTTTCTTAAACAGCTTTTTGGTGCGGTCGCGCGGCTTAGCCGGCCGCTCAGTAGAGGGCGTCGGCGAGGCCGGCGCGCCAGGCGCTAGCTCCGGGGGCGCCGTTTTGGGGACAGAGAGAGCGCGGGTCAGGGCGGGGGGCGGGGTAGGTGCTTGCGCTTCACTCGGCGCGTGCGGCGGCAGGTCAACTATAATGTCTAGCGTTGGCCGCGGCCTGGGCCGAGGCGCCGAGGGCGAGCTGTATGTCAGGGACACTACTTCGTCTGCGGGATATATTACGTACATCCCTGGGGAGACCGCATCGCGCCAGCCTCTCGCGCCCTCCGAAGAGGTTACCGCGCGCCTTTATCTTTCCAGGCTGTATCACTTACAGTTACTCTTACGAACAGAACCTTACTTTTGATTAGTAATTCTGGAATGTTTCTTTCAGTTTGACTTAGATGTGAAAGGTATAAGGAATGTTTTACTAGGGAGAGATTGAGCATAAGGAGGTAGGATTTTCTTCAATCTTCGGATCTTAAACTCATCTTGACCTGTATACAAATAAGGAGAAACCAATATTAAATTGGGTAAACAAAAGGAAATCGGCGAGCAAATAAAATATTTACTATAACAGAGCGTTCGGCGTAGGACATCAAAGAAGACAGGCAAAGGACTTTAATATTGAAACAACAAACGTAGATTTCTCAACGTTTCCAACAAAATAACACATTTCAACGTAAATCCGTATTCGTATCGAATGGTGACTGTTTAAATTATTCACATTGAATACGAAAGGTTTTTCAAGTAAGTTTACTAGTACATATTTCCCGAAATTCTGTAGTTCTATGTATATTCTAGATTAACTTAAACACAATTTTCAAATATATTTATCAGTAGGTAAGCAATTAGGCATTTAATTTTATTCTCTTTTTTGCTTAACGGTAAGCAAACATTACTAGTATTTTTATTATATTTTATATACGTTTTATTGTATTTTAATTTTTTGTAATTTATGTTTACCAAATTTGTCATAATTTAGAATAGATAGCTTGTAAGTTAAGTCCACGAGAATATAAGTGCTTCCTCCTATTTCACCATGCCTCCTGCTTAGAGAAGACAAAACGTTGTTTTTAATTTATTTAATTATTATTAATTAACTATTAATTACTTAAGATGTCATGTGGAATATGGTGTAATGGTTGCAGCTCCTTACAAACATTGTGTAAAATAAAAAACTTGGCGATTAAAAAGAGTGGCGGAGAGTCCCTTCTACGCCCTTGATTTGAGAACTGGCAGTAAATGTAAAATTAGAAGCAAGTTCATAGGTGTACATTGTGTTACCTATATGAATAAATGAGTTTGATTTTATTTGTAACATATTCTATAAATGTATAATCTATGATATGGTAAACTATGGTAACACCCGTAGCTTACATACAAAAAAATAGTTAAAAAACTTTTTTTAACTATTATTTATTTTCAATTTTTAGTTAATTTTTTTTCGGATTATTGCATTGTCATCGATCTTTGAAAGGTGCGCAAAGTTTGAATTAAATCTGATCGTTCAAAGTAGGACAAAATCGAGCTCAAAGGGTTCGGTTACATACATACATACAGGTGAAGCTAATATAAAGCGTGTAAAAACAAGTTAAATAAATCTTTTACTGTTGTACTTATTCTATCGACAAATGTAACATTTAATAAACAATATGTTTTAGTGAAGAGCCTGAGGTCGAAGATAACCGGGTCAAGTGACACCACGATGCTGAGAGAGCTTCAAACTAAAGTATCACTCAAAATTCACGACGTCGATGCCTCTATAGATTTATTTGTCTCTCAGAATTACCTTTAATTAGCTTTCATAAGCTCTTAGCGGGGCTTTTGTCAGCTTTTCAGTAATTAAGTCTCTCTTGAATAAGACCATTAGCAACATTTATATTCGGTTTAAATTAAATATCAACTGATATTGTTATATACAAAATGTAATGTATACTATTTTACAACGTTAATTCCGCGATTTATTCTCTTAAATCTTCTTCGATAGGGTTTCCTGGAAGAGATCGTGTGTTAGCAGTGAGTCTGTTGAAGCATAATTTCAGTTACGTAATTAAATAATGGTTTTATTATGCAACAGAGTGGAAATATTTTTTTTTGGTATTTATTTGAAACTAATCAGCATTTAAGATATTTTTTTACTCAGTAGTCTCTTAAATATTATTTTTTAGGGTTACCTGGAAGAGATACTTAAAGCATTTCTGTTATTTATTTATTTGTCATATATTTAATATTTATATTATTGACGTTTATAAGTGTACCTAACCTAAATGAATAAATGATTTTGAATTTTGATTGTTAGCATTGAGGTTGGAGCATCATTTCAGTTTCATTATAAAAAAAATGTTTTATTATACATTGAAGTTGAAAATAAACACTTTTCACAGACTATAAAAAATTTAATCATAATTACAGACAAGCTTATGATTTAATAACAGTGATTCTGCTGCTCTGATATCATTTTATCAATGAACGAAAAATAAAGAAAATTAAATTATGCGCATATTTATATAAAAAAGCTATTATAATGACTTGGAAGCAAAGTAAGGGAATCCTATTGCTAATGCAATTTTCCTATCCCCTTTTATGAAATAACGCTTTTGTGTTTTATAAAGGAAACATCTTATATCATAAAATGAGTTCTTGGATATTTTCCTAAGTCTAATATTGTCTGTAGCAGCATAACGTAGTTTCGTATGTGCAGTTTATAGCTTTATCTTTTAAATTATATTCTAATTTTCATCCTGTTTATTGATGTTTGTAAGATGACTTATTATTCTTTGACTTTTTTCTTAAAGTTTCATGACGGTTTCAGTACATCGCTTAAATTGTTCTTCCAAATTTAAATATACATATTGCAACATAAATTGTATTATCGAACAATTGTTGTGTGTTCCGTGTTCAACAAGATGTTGAAATTGATTCAGTAAATTTACATAAAGAAAGACAATTGATACGCTTTCTTTATCAGGTGGCTGTTGTGCCGTAATACAGAATGCTTTAATAACACACTAAAATACTTTTTGTCCGTTTTTAAACAAATAAAAGTTCCTCACAAATTAATTGTGAAATATGACAATGGTCAAATTTATACACGTGTCTTTTGAAGGTTAGGGGCTAACTAAAAATCATATAAGTTTAGTACTAGTAGCGCCATCTATGTGTCAGCCTACGAACTTTAACCCACCTAATATTTCTGTGCCTGTGCGCGTTTTTATCGAAAGTTTTATTAAATCTCGTTAGTAATTATCTTCAGAGAAAAAGATCGCCGAAAGTTGTTTCTTAATAGTAAACAGAAAACGATGGAAAAATACCTGTCATATACCGCATTACGTAACTTCAATTTACTGGAAAATAAAAGTATATTCGTCCTTTGCATGACTCGCTAAACTAGAATAACATTCACATGTATTTAGGTCAAAATATGATTGAGTTTGCATGTTCCCACTTACTCGAACAAAGAGTAGAAAGTATTATTAACTGCTAGAATCGTTTTTGTTTAGTGAAGGACGGTGAATTAAAAAAAAACTATAACGTATATGAACGCAAAATTATTATATTTTATAGAACTTGACGTCTTGTGTAGGTATTTTGAGCAGTGTTGGCCTAGTGGCTTCAGCGTGCGACTCTCATGCCTGAGGTTGTAGGTTCGATCCCGGCCGTGCCCCAACGGACTTTCTGTCTGTCTATGTTTGACAGACGTTGTACGTTTAACATTCGCTTGAACGGTGAAGGAAAACATCGTACGAAAACCGGCTCGCCATAGACCCAAAAATTCGACGGCGTGTGTCAGGCACAGGAGGCTGATCACCTACTTGTCTATTAGATTTACAAATGATCATGAAACAGATACAGAAATCTGAGGCCTAAAAAGGTTGTAGCGCCACTGATTTATTTATTTAGTTATTTTAACAAATTTCATATTAACAAATGTTAGATAAGACTTTTTAAGTTTGCCATATAAATCCTATCTACCATTAATTATTTGCAATATTCATATCAAATTTAATAGGATCTTTACAATAAGTATTTATTGTATTTTTATAAAAAATAATAAAGTAGGAACTTAGTAGTACGTTATAAATAAAGGTTTTAATTAATACACTACGTCTAATGGTATATTAATAATAATATATGTAACGCAAATCTCTCAAAATTGTGTCCATAGATGATAAACTAAAAGTCTACTTAATTACTAACCTTAATATACATAAATTTTCAATTAAATAAAAATGTTAACCAGTTTTAAAACCAGAAAGAGTTCTTCATAAAGAGTACACATGGGAAAAGCCGGCAGTACTTTTATAAAGATTAAATTGAGCTTCAAACAAAAGGGGTCTACTTAACAGGAAATGTGTATCTGACATTTAAAATTATACCGCATGAGTATGTAGTATTCCGCGTATTGAGTGTATTTCAAGCGTTAATTATTAATAGAGGTATATTACAATTTAATAAGAGAAATTTGAATTAATATGCCACAAAATAATGTATATTATATGAAGAATATTGATACGTAATATAATCTCCAATTAATTAAATAAACACGTCTGTTTTTTGCAAAGTTACTCGTGAGTGATTGTGCAATCACTATACAGCGCGTATAGCCTTAATCAAGTTACTTAAAATATAATATAACCGTAAAGGAAATGAAACTGGAGATGAGATAATTGTACTTTAACTGTATAAATTTATTTGCTAAATACTAAGCTGTTGATCTGCGGCACGGTTGTGTATTCGCCTTCGATTTCGTTGTAATTATTCGTAAAATTAGAAGTTACCAAGCAGGCGTTGATAAATACGGTATTTTTTAAATTTAATTAAATTTGTCCCAGAAGTTTAAGAAGTATAACTAGTCAAATTTCTTTAATTTTTTCACTGACTGATCATCAAAACTTTAAGGCACTTATAGCTGACGTAGAATCTTCAAATTTAGAAGCCAATTAGTATTTAATGATAAATTAGAGGAACTACGTTGCAAGACTTAGTTTTTTTACAAGTCATGTTTATGATAGCATTAATTCGTCGTGTCGAGAATATAAATGAGTTCAGTACTTATTGAATTCATTTATTTAAAAAAACTGAGAAAGAATGGATAAAACTAATAACTTGGATTTTTTACCGGCCTGTATATATTTAAAAAAAACATAACACAAATCTATCGCTGTATACACTGAGTAATGAAAGCACCTATACATATAATAATATAACACTAAAGTATTTTTCGATAGATGTTTTATTTCACAATA